CAATTTGGTTCTACTGTCTGAATTTATATGGATGTCATTTAACACCTTACTCAGGGCCGTATCAGCAGCTGGTCATTGTTAAGCATGTATTTAACTGTTGAAACACAACTTTTTCAATAATTTACTGATGAAGGGGAGGTTTGAAAGGAGTCTGTAGCTCTGCATGATTAATTTATCCTAGCTTCTCTTTTGCAACAACCATTTGAAAATTGCTGTGTCGAGGTAAAGAATACTTTTTTACATTTAAACAATGCAATTGAAGAAGAAACTGGATTAAATTACTCTGAATGTAACATACAGAATAGGTGCTCTATGGGATGTTCAGAATGTTTTAGAAATTGCTAACCTGCAGTGAATTCTATCCACAACCATCAGCCAGATATACAGGAAATGGGCTGACAAAGTGCTCATAACCAGTGAGAGGCAAATGTTAAACCAGGTGAACCAGTTACTTAGGTTTTCTGTCCTTAACTTGGCTGAGTTGAACACCTGACCCAGGACACTGGGCCCAATCCCAATACAACCCCTAGTCCCTACTTTTTAGCCCTTTTGCATTTTCTCTCAAAGTTAGTGGTGTCCCAAATCCCCTTTGAATGTAGGACTAGTGAACATAAAAATGGGTGGAGGGTATAAATCTTGCCCTTAAAATAAGAAATATCATATGCTGACTTGCCTTGGAAAGGCCAGAGACAATTTTACAGAAAACAAGGAGGTCAGGGTTTTCAGTTTTCTTTCTTTTCTTTTTTTTACTTTAACTATTGAAAGCCAAACACAGTTGTTGCCATTCTTGTTTCCCCTGATTCTCCCAAACAACAGCAGTTAGTTGAGATGGTGTTTTGGAGCTTAGACAGGAGCAGCAGGAAATCAGTAAGATCCACCGGCAGAGAGAACACCAGAGACAGAAAGAAGCTGTCAGCCGTGGCCCCCCCTCTGGAGCTAAGGGGAGAGGCTTCAGCCAGTAGTGCCTGCCCCATTTCCTTCCAAATAAAGGCCAGTAATGGCAGCTTTTGTTGTTGTTGCTGTTTTTTGTTTTTGTTTTTTTAAGAACAGTAAACAGAACAGAATATTTTAATACATCATAACACTAAGAATCAGGACCAAGGAGACAATGCTTCAGTTTGCAGTGAGTGATGCAAATTGGCTTTTCATTTAGCAATTTTAATGAAAAGAGCAGAAAAAGCATGTTTTTATCCTGCCTTGTATGAACAGCTCTGATGGTGGCGGTCCATCCCATGTACTGATCTTATGATGAGTACTTCCAGTTATATATTGCACCATGACACAAAGCTCAAATCCTCTTTAACAAGAACATGACAAGTTCACTGGACTATAATGTTTTCGCTGTGACCCAGTCCAACAGAGAACCTTAGGGATGTGTAAGAACAGAAGATTCACATCACAGATGGGAATCTGGCAAATCTGCAGCAACTTTTATGGTGCTTCTGGTCAAAGTCTTTGAGGATTATTGTTTAATATGTATCCTGAAAAATCAAGGCCAGACAGAAAGCAAAAGCAAAGTGGTTTTATTGGTATTGCGCCATCCATACATAAGGTAACTGAAACAGCTTTTTTTACATAAATAAAGAGAGTTCAAATAGGTTTTACTAAATATATGAAACACACGAAGCATTAAGGAAGGTAAACTTAAGGCATTGCATAAAAATGTAAAATAAAAAAGATAAAAAGGGGTCTGCTACAGCTAAGTTGGGACAGTGTCCGGTGAGTTTTTAATACAATAAAATCTACTTGATTATATTATGGAACATGATCACTAGTAATAGCTCTGTGAAAAGCAAAGCAACAAACTCTTTAGGTGAGAAATAAAAAGAATAAAAAAAATAAAAGAATAAAGCAAAGTATAATTAAAAAATATATATTTAACTAAAGCCATTATCCTTGAACTATTTTGCTATTTGTCAACAATCAAATCCATCCTGACAAATCAGGAAAAGAATTGAGTGAATACAGAAATAAAAAAAAAAAACTTTTATGCTTTTATCAAACTCTAACCTTATTTTATCTAGTAATTGATAAAGTTCTGCAATTTTCAATCCCTACTTCCACCAGACAACAATACTTTGCTATTTAATGATCTAGACAATATTAGTTATCTATTAGACCAAGACATCATGAAAAAATAAAAAATTAACTCCAGTGTTATGGAAAACCATTTCTTTAATTTTAAACGAATGAAAAAAAATCTCTATATATGGAAGAAATAGAAAAATATCCTTTTTTTTCCAGGTCATGTTATTTTTGTTAAACCATTTTGGATGCAAAACCTAAGAAACAGATTATAAACAGCAATTCATGTTAACTAAAATGCTGTCTGTGCTTTTTGTAAGAACATATTTATTTCTATATTTTAATAGATGAAGCAAAAACAAACACAAAAAAATTACGAGTTAAAAAAGGGCAATGCTTTTTTTTTTAAATATATTTGCAAAAACTGTGCTGTTTAAATTGCTAAAACTCTTAAACAGACAATAGATGTTTTTATGTGCTGTCATGGCAGAAATATTTAGAAATATTTAGTCCAAAAATGCCATTTAAGTAGTTTTTAGTGGTTTCTTCTCCACAGACAGATGTGTTTTATAGCATGCACAGCAGAGAGCTATAATTAAATCTTCTGAAACCAAAGTAACATTCCAGACAATAGCAAACTCTGCAAGGCTGACCTCACAATAGATGTTAAATAACCATACATAGCATCCAGTAAACTGGAAGCCTAAATGCAACTAAATTACACAACAAATTATTACATTATTCTACAATGTTTTGACTTTTGCATTCATTATCATTTGACTGGATTAGATCTCAACAAGTGAGCCAAAGGATTAACCAAACATCTGCTCTTTGTTAAGGCCTTTTGTTTTCAGGGTGAGTTCTGTGCATCATAACAAATCCTTGTAATTGGCAAAAGTGACCCCTGGTGGAGATATTAGCCCAAGATAATTTGGAATTCCAATTAGCAGATAAGCTCTTTATTTATCAACGACTTAACAGAGACTTAAGAAAAACAACAAAGAAAACAGAATAAGATCGTGACAAAATAAGAACGGGTTACCAAACTACAACTATATTGGTTTTATTAATCAAATCTGTCAGTTTCAGCTATAAAAATAGGAAAATCTAAAAATTTCTAGAGTACCGGCTCTAATTAATTGGTTATAAGAATAGAATAATCTATATCACTCCAATTTTGAGCTATATTTTTTCTTCAAAATGAATGCAATGAAAAAAAAACTTTAATATCTCAGCAACAATCAAATTGTGTACTTTTGAATTGCTGCCTTTCTGTTGAAACAAAATAATCCCTATTATATTAAAATACTTACTTTTCTCTGTTTGACCACAATAACAAGCCTGTAAAAACATTGTGGAATAACTTTTAATGGTTGCTTGAACATTAATTGGAATTTTTGCTTCAAGATAACGTTTAAAGTGTTGTTAGTCAGCCGCTGAAGTCATGTGTTGAAAGAAAAACCAAGAAGAAGCTCCACTTTAGTAGTAAACCACAAAGCCCTAAAAAAAAACAAGGCTTAACCAGAACTATGTTTACATGCTTTTTAAATGTATGGTTTCTAAGTGCTTTATGATGGGATTAGGAAACACAAAACCATGACACATTGGAACTGAAGTAAACAATCAAACAAATGAATAATGAAATGTCTGACATATTAAGCTAAGATTAGTTGTTTGTAGTGAAAAAGTTTTTTTTCATAGTGTGGTACAAAAAGTAAGTATAAAAAATATACTAAATCACTTCAAAAGTATTTAAACCATTTGAAACCTTAGCAGTGAGGGCAAAATGATCTGTTTTAAACCAGGCAAATATATGATGGGGTTATTTTAGTTCTGCCCTGCATTTAGCTCCATCAGTCTTCCAGTCAACTCTACCTTTTTGTTCCAATGTGACAGAGGTCGCTAAGGCCATTAAAAGCCCCTTGGCCACAGGGCGGCAGGTTTGGATGAGATCTGGACTAAGCTGCTAAGCACTCTGGACATAGTGGCCTGTCATGGATGATAAGCCTCTTCAATATCACTACACTTGGACAACAGGGGTACGTTTTTGAAGACTTGGTGAATTTTTAAAGGAGAGGGAGCAAGTATGCTGACATGTTGAGGACCACAGCCTCTACATGGATCACAGGCCAAAAACACTAATCCAGCACCACCGCCATGCCCATAGGTCTGAGGTTTCTTTTTTGCAAAGCTATATTATGTTTATTCAACACATGTTCTGTATTCTTTTATCCAAATAAATACATTTTTGTTGTATCTGTCCAAACCACATTGCTCCTGAGATCCTGGACTTTTGCTTTGCTTTTCTTGCCAAACTTTGCTCTGGTCTTCTTTTTATAAGACCTATTTAGACCTTCACTTTTGTATCAAAGGTATATTTTATTGCCATCTGCTTACACTCATACAGAGTGTGACCTCGGCATAGCTTTTCTATATGTTCTGCAATTAAATACTTTTTGTTTATAGTGACATTCTCATTTCTAAATATTATAAGACCTTTTTAATCCCATACCAGATTTTAATCCCTTACCAGATAAAAAAAAAAAAAACCTTCAATCCTGTTTTTGAAGACTTAATGCAATTCTTGACATGCTATGGTACCATTGTGTTCCTTCTAAACAAACTATAAATAAAGCATCCTTTCTAAATGTGATAATGTAATAAACACAAACTTGCATATCATGATCTACCACATAAAACCCAAATATGATAAATTTAAGTGTGTGCCTTTAACCTTAAATACAAAAATTGAACAAAAAAAAAAATATTTTTTTTTTTACAAGGTAATGTGCAACCTCCTACATCCCCACTATTCTTCATCAGAAGCCTGGATCATATGTAACTTGACGGACAGCGAATCCCATTATTTTTTATAACAGAAAAAAAAATCCTCCTTCTTGCTAAAAATGAAAACGGTGCGTTTTGATTAACCTTGTGAGCCATGCGGAACTAAACCCTGGCCGGAATTGTTTCCGCCCGAACAATAATCTCAGATGGAATTTTTTTATATTTACTCCTCAACGTGGGTTTGTTTGCTAGTCTGTTAAAGTCTGAATGGTGAGATGCAAAGTTATGCTTAATGAATAAATAATCGTGTGAATAAAAATGGGTAAAAAGCGCCAAAGCGACGCCTCGGCAGACTCCGAGGCTCCGCTAAAAAAGGAGAAAGCTCCGGAGTTTAACGGGACAGTGTTTAAAACCATGCTCAAAAATCCAACCACAGCCATGAAGGGTAAGATTGGACATTTACTCTGACTTTATGTTATTCAATTTGATAAATGTTATTTAAATTTGCTCCTTTAATTGACTGCAGGGCTGGAAACATTTATATCAACTGCGAAAAAACTACCGTCCTCCGATCTGTATGATGTGGTGGAGGGTTATATAAAGATATCGATGGAGTGTGCCGAAATATTTAAGTTGCTAGAAGCAGAAAAGACTTCAGAGTCGGAAGTAAGTTGAAGTGCACTTGGAAAGGATGGAAGGATTAAATCACTTTCGTATTTTAGTGGTTCCCTTCTGATGGAGTCTTTCATCTGTCCAGAGGATGCTGATTTTTGGGAGCCTGGAGGTGATCTTGTTGAGGACAGCCAGTGATCTGTCACACTTCAACATGGTGGGAAACGTCATCGTGAAAAAGATGGTTTCCAACTACATTAAACTTCTGCAAGGCTCCTTTTATTCAGCGAATCACGGGTCAGTACAATGACAAAGCTGGGTATTGTGTAAAATGTTAATACCTTCATACATTATAACCCCAAATACTACTTGTTTAATAGCAGTTTTATAAAGCGGAAGGACAGAAAAAAAATGTTGTTTATGAATAGATTTTTTTCTCAAACAAACTAAAAAACGTGTATGACCTATTTATAGCCTCCCAGCTAGAATAATAATTGAACTTTATTGATTTCATATTGGAGAAATGTACCTCTGCATTGAACCCATCCCCTTAGGGAGAAGTGTGGCAGTTCAATTCATTTCAGTTTAATTCTATAGCGCCAATTCACAACATGTCATCTCCTGGCACTTTACAGTTCACCAGATCATACAGTTAAATTGATTCAAAGTTTTCTATCTAAGGAAAACCAGTTGATGGCATGCAATCCCTCACACTAAGCATGCTTGTAGCGACAGTGGAGAGGAAAAGCTCCCTTTTAACAGGAGGAAACCTCCAGCAGAACCAGGCTCAGTGTGAGCCAGTGAGTCAGTCTGTGGGAGTGGGGCTTGAACTCAGAACCTCAGGATTCCAAGCTCAATGCTCTAACCACTAGGCCGCCACTCCACCAATCTCTCATAATGCTGTGAAATGATGTACTGCAACTTAAGGTATATTCACAGCTGTCCTGTGAAAGCCTTAACGGTTAATCATAAAGAAAAGGAAAACACAGAGCTAAAGTTATAGAAAGGTTTCAAGCATGTTAAGGAGCAATTATCGCTCTGTTATCAGACAAACACAAGAGTGTCGTTCAATGTCAAACATACCAATGCCTGGGTGTTCATCTAAACTGACAGCTCGGGTCCATGACAATTTTGGCTGATCTGCAGATAGTCAGGGTGGAAAATTTGTAGACTTGGTAATTGGTAGTAATTCACTTCATAAATTCAGCCTTCACAAAAGCCAGACAAAAATAAAGTCACTGTTTAAAGAATGATATAAAAGGTTTGAATTCAGTTTGCCACAATTCATGTAATGGAAACAGCAAGTATGTGGTCAGGCTGTGTTTACTGTAGACATTAATTAAATTTGATTTTTTGGCTCAAATACAAAATACTTTTTGAGCGTAATTCTAACACTGCGCATCACCTTGAATACTCCATCAACACTTTCACACCTCTTGTCAGGATTATGGCAGATGATGCTTTTCTACAGGAAAGTGGTTTGTTCAAAGTAATCGTAACAGAAAACCTGAAACGGACAGCAAATGATGGAAGGATGGAGAGTAGACTCACCTTCCAACATCCCCCGATCCTAAACATAGATATAGAGCTATGAGGAAATGGTTTACAAAGTATGTTTGTGTTTAACTAGCTGACTCAAAGTCTAGACATAGAGAATCAATTTATATTCATTTATATTTACATTTATATTCACAGACGGGTTCTATTCAATCTAAATTCAGCTTTATTTCTAACAATAAAATGTTCAACCTTTAGATATGCAAAGTCAGTACAACCATGCCACACAATAATTGGCAGTGTAACAGCTGTAGTGTTGAGGGAAGGAAGCCGAATGGAAATGTTTGGCACCCATTTTTATTGATAAAGAATTTAAACCTTGTGCAATATTTTGTTCTTCTAGGAACTGTTAAAAAAAAAAAGCTTAAGAAGTATAAAATCCACCTCTGCATTAATAACTTTCTTTTAATGTTGTGAACAGATTTGTCCGCCAGTGCCTCAATCTCCTGTCCGCTATGGTGTCTCAGGGTGCTGAAGCTGCCAGAGAGGTACTCAGTCATATTCAGATCAAAACACTCCCTGGACTGGCAAAGAAAAAGGATAAAAGGGTATGGTGCAGGTTATGTCCTACTTTTTTCTGTCGAAGTTGTTCGGGCTAAATTGAGCCGAGTTAAATCTTCTGAATCCCTTTTACAGGGTAAACCTGATGTCAGACTGGCCTTTATCCAGTTTGTGCTGTCATTTCTAGTGTCTGGAGACACTGCAGTCATTGGACAGGTTTTAGAACTTAAAGGTAAGATTAAAACTTAAGTTTTTTTGTATTTTTAAACCTGTGTTTTTCCTGTGTGTGGATGACGTGTTGATCTGGGTGCCGTAGAACTCCTGCCGCACATCTTGAACACGGGTCTGAAGGAGGACAGGATGTCCACAGTCAATTTGATTTTGTCAACATTAAAGACAAGAGTTAGTACATGAGATTGCACATTTAAAATAAAAAAAAACTTTATGAGTTTGGGATTGAAATATTTGGTATTTGTCACTGTGCAGGTTGTTTTAAACAAAGCCATCACTAAAACACAGAAGGTTCGCTTTTTCACCCCTGCTGTATTGGCCAACATTGCATCTCTGTACAAATGGAATGGGATTGTTGATGCGACCGCTAACGATGACACCGTAAGTTGTATTGTGATAACATAGATACCATTTTGGTCCAAATTATGGCTTGACTTCTCATTTGTAATCTTGTCTTGTTAGACGGAGCAGGACTGTGATGCTGCGGGGCTATCAGTTGTCAGGGAACTTGTCCACAGCTTCCTTGTTGACCTGTGTTGCTCTCGTAAGCACGGCATCAGCTTCCATGATCCTAGCTATGGCACAGGCGGCAGGTCAGTGGATGACTTCTGGGGTGCATATTTCACCACTGGAAATAAAGCTCACTGTTAAACATAAGATTTCATATTTTGCAGGCCTGGAAACCTTGTCTTGCTTCAGTTCTTGGTTGGGCTGAAACAGGCGACTGATGATGAGTTAGTGGCGGAGCTGGTGGTGAACATACTGAAAGGAAGCCCTGACATCTTGTCCAGATTTTTCAAGGAGACTCAATATTCATACACCCCACGCATCAAACGTGCTTGGCAGGACAATGTCAAGCTCCTAAAAAGGGTACATTTTGTGGCTTTATTTCGTTTTCTGTATTTTCAAACATTTATGTGAGGGAAAATCCCTAATTTTATTACTGGTAGTTATTTATTGATAAGGTCCTTGGTGCTGTTCCTGAACCTGGACAATTTTAACTCCAATCACATACATGCAAAAGTGAAATAGCACATTCCCAAAAACTACCAAATGGATGATAATATTTATTTCTCTGTTTCTCTTTTCAATCAGATCTATGAGGCCCAGCCTGAGATTTCCACCATCTTTCAGACCGGTGAGATGATCCCTTTGCCTCGTTTGCTGTCCATGGTGCTGGTCATCTCTCTTCCTCCCGTGTGCAACAAGGCTTTCTTTACACAAGGCCTCAATGTAAGTCACTTAACCTCTTGATGTAAATATTGCACTTTGGGGGTGGAGAGGATAAAATCCAGCGATATATTGATTCAATCAACAGCTTGGAAACCCAACGGTGCAGCTTACAACTGTGTCCACCATGATTTTCCTACTGAAAAAAGCCAATAAGAATCTGGAGTATCTTTTGGACAAATCCGTGTGGCAGAAATCAGATCTGTATTCTGCTGAGATGATGGAAGAGCTTGTGCGGCAATACACAGAGACACTTGGCAAGGTAGGCTCAGTAAAAGGATCTTTGATAAAGATTGGTGATGCAGGTTCACAGCTTATCTGTTTTATTTATCCTCCATTCCAGATTTTGCCTGATATGACACACATCATTTCAACATGGCAGTCTCTAAACAAAAAGGAAAATGCTGATGGTGATAAGAGTAAAAGTGGAGAGGATAACGTACTGACTGATGACCAAAATGAATTGCGTGGTAGGAACCCTTAGTTTGTGTCTTGTTCTGTTTTTAATATTTGCTACTGATGTCAGCTGACCGGTCTGTGTGCTTTCTGGTTAAACAGGACCAGAGAAGGCAGAGGTCACTGTGCTGAAGGCCTTAATTCTTCAAGCCATATGCCTTTACCAGAGGGTGGTGCCACATCTTGTTACACAGTTCAAATTTGACTTCAGCAAACTCCTAAAAGGTAATATGTCGGGCTGAAACAATCAGATTAATCGTGATTATTGAAATAATCATCAACTAATTTAGTAATCGATTAATATTTAACCGGAGTGTAGTCTCTAAAATGTGACTTTAGGCAGACAGAGAAACCCACCTTGAGCAGCAATTTTACCAAAATTGTAAAAAAAAAAAATCTAAACATTTCGCAATTACAATAAAAATCTTTTTCATCTGTCAACATGTTCTTTCCAGAACTCCTCGAGTGGAAAAGCTTTAGTTTCACAAAAAGGTCCTCTTTAAGAAACCTTTACCTATCAGTTATTTTTTAGTTGATCGAAAATAATCAACAGATTAATCGATTTGCGAAATAATCGTTAGTTGCAGCCCTAGTAATATGTTTGCTGCTGATGTTCCTTATTTCTTTTGAATTTGCTCATTAAAATAAAGTATTTGTTTTTTTGTTTTTTCTATTAAAAAAAAAAAACAACCTTTTCAGGAATTGTATCGGAGAAAGGAATGAGAGAAGAAATCCCTCCAGTCTTGCAGTACCAGATACTGCAACTGGCTTTAGATCTTCCTGCAAACAAGTTTTCCTGGTTTCGCTTACAGGTAAAGAAGGTTTGTTAGTTCTGTTGGACCTGCACTAAGTGTAATTCGTTTTAATTTTACTGTGTTAATTTTACCCACAGGATGTTGTCAATTCAGACTCTTCATCTGGAGAGAAGTCTGTGCTCTACCTGCTTCTGAAAATGTTTGTGAGCAGCAGCAGCAACTACCTGAGTACCACCACAAGGAGGCTGGTTATAAAAGTAAGAAGGTTTTCCCTATAGATGCATGAAGTAAAGATACACATGGTTCTCTGTAGTCATTGACTCCTCCTGATAAAGTTGGGTAAAGGAGCTTAAATTATAATGTATTAACATGTTTTTACAGAAACACCGTTTCTTAACTCTGATGGTAAAACTCAGTACAATCTTCTTTTAATGACAAATGTCTCATGTCATATCATTTTAGTGGGGATTTATCTATCTTTTAGGCTGTTAACCAGAAATGTAAAATAAAAACCTACAAATTTGTATTAAAATATCCTGATAATTGAAAGAGATTTGCCCTCTATTAAGAATATCAGAGCTTGTATATAGAAACAGACCCACAGTAACACGTACTTAAAAGAGCCAACATGAGATGCTGTACTACATAATCATTTTTCTTTTTTCCCCATTAAATTGACCTGTTTGTTGAGGAAAGTAATATTTTAAGTCTGATCCAAGTCCATCATTTTAGCTAAAGCCCCAGTCACACCTTGAGGATTTAGCCAGCGTTTGCCTGACGTATGGAAAATCTGGCAAAAAGCTGGCATATGTTGAATAAGTTATGAGTACGTTTTATGTAAGTTATCAGCATGCTGGCATACATCGACATACGGCAAGTACATCTTGAGGTATGCTAGGGTATGCTCATACGTGGGCCAAAAGTTACAGGTAAGTTATCTGGTCGTTGACATACTTAAAGTTTAAGTTACTCACAAGTCATGGCGTCTAGCTTATCCAAAACCTATGAGTAACGTGTGCAGAACTTATCTCTAAAGCATATCGATGTATTTAGCTTGTTCCAGACGACCGCTGGATGTGTTTCTAACTTACTGCTACCGTATAATGACGTTTAGTGGAATCTTGTTCTTTTTCTGCAGGCTGCGTGTCTCTGGGCGCATTGATGCCCCCCTTCAGGACGCTGGATTGTGACATTTCATGGGCATTGCAATGCCATGCGTCATGCCATTATGCCGTGCGTCATGCATAAGTTAGGCTATCGTTTGACATACGCGTTATGAATAATCTATGAATACGCCCAAAATTTAAAAAATAGATTGAAAGTTCAGCGTTTGCCAGCGTTTTAGAAGATTCTGGGACGTCCGGCATACACTGCTAAATCGTCAATGTGTGACAGGTGCTTTAAGCTTCGGTAGACTTTATCAGACTCCACACATTTATGTTTGTGATGGTAAGATTGAAAAGGCTTTAATGGCTCTGTTTGCATGTAGGCAGCATTTAATGGGTATTATAGAGAGTGTGTGGCATTTCTATGATCTTATTCCACTTTGGCAGGAAAACCTTCCACTTTAAACCACTCAATTCATCTTTTTTTATTTCCTACAAAAATTTGTTTACCTAAAAAAAAAAAAACTATTTCCTAGAATGTCAGATAGGATGTTTTCAATTTTCTCATCATTTCAGTGGGAGTTTAGTAAGTTGTTTAGAGGCTTTTTACATCCTTATCAGGGACAGTTGATAGTTATGAAATGCTGTTCATTATATCCAAGCTTCATTCTCCTAATATGCTCAACACATACTTTCTATTCTGTGGTGTTATTTGTCAGGATGGGTTAGCATTTTAGTTTATTCGCTCAACTCCAAAAAATCCTTTAATTCCAGTTCATCAACATTGTAGGAGGAATTATAGATGAGGTGGTAGATTTTCTTTTAAGTAAGAAAAACATGAAATATTTTCTTTTAAACATTTAAATATTTTAGCATTATTCTGAAGTGACGATGAAGAAGAAATCTCTGTTACTGATGAACCCCCAACATAATAGCTTGACGTCTATGTTCATCTATGTTACCTCTAAATTTTTCTTTTTTCCTTCAGGTGTTGAAGGACACCGGGGTGTTTGAGTACACCTTACCAGAACTCGACCTCTGGCTGGACCAGCTGGCAAGAATACAACCAGACCAACAAGAGACCGTGATCCATTTCTTGGAGAGGGTAAGTCCAACTATGAGACATTTAAAATGCTACCAACAGGTTTATCTACACTCACTCTGGTTATGGAGGTTAGTTTTGCTTTTGGCCTTTGATTTATTTCAACCATTTGTTTGCCAAGATGACTCATTAATGTCAACAATTAATCAGTATCCAAATATCAAATATCTGATGGGTTGTTTCTCAGCATGTTGAGTGGAAATAAGACAGTATTTGATGTACACTATGAGCCTCTGGTATAATTCAAACTGACTATTTTACCACTCTGCTCATCAAAACTCCTTGAGTGTATGTAAATAGTTTTTTTATCCATAGTCCAGTATTGCTTTATAGGTTAAAGTTAAGACTCCTCTTGAGGCCTGGGGCTGCTTCATCATTTCCCAAACCAGTTCTGATGGGTTCTGGGGATAGTTTTTTCACTAAAACTCACAGTTGGGTTAAAATTTGAAACAGCAATCGGTTAATTTGAGGGGGTGTTGATGAGTTTTTGCAATACACCAAAACATCCAGCAGGATTCTGCCCACCAGGCTTGGACTGGGAACGATTTTCTGCCCTGGCAATTTTTTCATCTACACCGGCCCACCGCCATTTTCAAAAAATATGTTTGAATATTTTTGCAAATTATTTGAACACAAATTCTCCAAATATAAGAGGAACATCGTAGTTTGGTTTAAAGAAAGTATTTTATTTTTATTATAATTTAGTTTGTTGCAAGGATTGTACAGTTTGAAGAAATAGAAAATTACACCACATGCCAACGGCACAAGGATGTCCATGACAAGGAAGGGCTATATATAGTGCATGCATCATTTAGGTAGTTAATATTGTATTAGTTTATAAGCTTCTTGAGTTACTTACTGTCACAGGTAGGTGCTTCGGCCAGAGAGTACGTGTTGGGGCCGTTATGATTGCCCACCAATATGACCACAGCTCACTGTGAACGTTTTAGACCTTAAAAGACGAACTCGTTCAAACATACTTCCTCTTATTTTGGTTAAAATTATGATAAATTATGTCTTATATGGTCTTAAATAAATTATCTAGAATGCATTGCAATTGTCCACATTTTAATCAAGCTTAAAGTTGTGCGTTTTGGTATGCTTCTACATCTGCAGCTTCTCAGCCCTTGATGTTTACTGTTGACAGCGAGCCTGCTACTCTACCGGCTTCCAAACAATATTAATCCTAGAGGGAAATTAAATGCTGCAGTAACATGTCTGCAGCTTTTCAATGAGATGTTGTAGGAGATGATAGCTGTAGACAGGAAGGATCTTCTGTAGCAGTCTGTTTGCACTGGATCTGGAGAAGCTTCTGACTGAAGACACTGTTGTTAACACTGACGAAGAGGATGTTCACTGTTGTTGATAATGGTTTTCACTTTATGAAGAATTCTTCTTTGTGAAATCTATAAATATACAAACGTACTGAGGGATTTCTGTTTATCTGGGGATGGTAGTTTAGATCTGATGGGGAAACTTGGACACAGTAGGCTGTTCTTACTGGAAACTCATCTAAACTGGTTTTTAGGGGGGAAGAGACTTGGAGTTGCCTTCCTAAAGACTCTTTCTGAACAATATAATACATTTGTTCATTTGCTTCAAAGCTTGATTTTCTCCAGGAAACTGATCAAATTAAATGTATTCTCCCACTTTTACCCAAAGAAGTTATCAAACATTCAGCAGGAATTACAACAGAAGCTCTTTTAATGTGTAGCTGAAATGCAACTTGCTTGGTCACAACTAACCTTTAACATTTATTAATAGAGGTGTAAGTATATCATTGATTCTGCACTGATAGTGTTGATCATTTGTAGATTAAACATGTCCACCAGATTCCTTTTTTGAATTCAGTTAAATAAAAGAATTGAAAATGTAAGATTAGAATGGATCTCCTTTAATCAAAATGGATTTTCTGAGATATTATTGCCAGTTTTTCTCAAAATCCTCCTGTTTTACTTTAGGTTTTGGTGAAATTGGTCTGCAACTCCTACGACTACACAGATAAAGTTGCAGGTTTTGTTCAGGATGCAGCGAACCTTCAGTCTAATCTGAGCGTTCAGGAGGGCGAGGCAGCCAGCGTTCCCGTCTCGCACATAGATGGTGAGCATTAAACGCAGCACCAGGGCTTAGTTCTTTAGACAGATATTGGGCCTGAATGTGTGTTTATTTGTTGCTTTGGACCCTCAGATGTTTTAGACATGCTTGACGTCATTATGGAGGGTAATGATGGAGAGATGGAAGAGTTTGGGCCGTCGCTGAGTGAGGACGTCATTATACAAACCTTCCCCTTCAGTGCCGTGGTACCTGCAGCTCTGGAAGCTCGAAACAAACTTCCAGTGGACAAAGGTGAGTTATTAACACCAGTAGTTTTCTATTAGTAGAAACTAATTCTAATATGAATAATAATGTAATCTGTGCTTGCTTCCATTAGCTGTTGTGTGTGAGTACCTGTCTGCAGTGTTGGCTGATGTGCTGCATTGTCAGAGAGACCCTCTGTCCCTCTGTTTGGCTCTTCAGCAGTACGACAAAGAGCTTGTCTCTTCCCAACTCCCTCCTTTCCATCAGTGCATCGTAAACTTCCAGCAGTATTATTCCAGATGGCTGCCACAGCAGTGCAGAGAAGAGCTGGTGAGTCTCTGCTGCTGGAGAAATAAAGCCAGTTTATTGCTAAAGTGCTCATACCTCTTGAACTTTTTACTCTTTTTACCATTTTCCTTAAATCACAGAGATGGATGTTCGGGGTTTTTTATATGTGGAAGCTTAAATTTCTCTTTATAGTTGCAAACTACATGGGATGAAGCATCTGTGAGCATTAATTTGTAGGAGTCATGCCACAGATTGCTACTATATTTAGATCTTGGTAATTCTAACATATAAACCTTTAATCTAAACCATTTCACTGAGATACAGTTCTTTTGTATAGATTCCTCAGTCGGCTGATATTGTTGGCCGACATTGGTGTTTATTTGATCTCAGATCAGCATTAGATGATAAGCACACTTGGCAGCTGTTTTTGAGATCATGTGAAGCGCATGCATAGCCCTCCCTTCATTTGATACCTATTGTTAATTAGGAGTTAGTATTGGCATCGGTGTTACGATACGATATGTGTCACGATACATCGGGCAGCCAACAAACACGATATATTGCATAATCGATTTTTTTTCCCACATCCCTATTATTATGTTTTGTTTAGTTTGGTAATAAATGTTTATTTTTGTTTAAATTAAGAATTCTGTAACATTTGTTGTCGCTGCGTCGTTTTAATCATGTAAACAGAGGAAAAGCTATATTGGTTTCTATAAACGGTCCAGAAAAATCAGGAGCACATATCGGGAATCGGTTAGACCGATGTCAAAATAATCAGTATCAGCTTTAAAAAAAAATTATGTGGCTGTTTTACAGAGACAGTGGGAGTCTCTGTCCCAATCTTAAATAATTTTAAGCCTGAATGAGTCTTTCTAGTAAAATGCATTTCTGTATAGCTGTTCTTTTTTTCCAATCTGGCTTTTGGAAAAATTAAGCTGCCTTTTTATGGCTTTCCTCTGTAGCCTTTGTTAAATGGTTCCCTGTATTTAGCTCCATCTATATGCTGAAGAAAATCATCCCCAAAACATGATTCTGTAACTACCATGCATTTGGTGAAAATGATGGCCTCACAGTTAAGGGCTGGTTATACTCCTGCAGCAATGTGTCGCAGTGAGCTTGACGCAGATATTTCTGATTTATTCTCAATATTGAAGCATGGTCTGCGCTATGTTATTCCACGTCACAATGCAAAAGGGACAATCACGATCTAGCTGTGGGTCTAGATACGGCAGAGGCGGTGACAAAGTAGAAAAATGCAAGGGGCAAGTTTGTGCGACAACGGAGGGACATGAGGGCGAAAAGGAGCGGAGATCCAGGTGGAAAAAAGCGTCCCAGGATTCTCGCGCACCTCGCTCTTCTAGCTGGTCCATCTTCACGAGTCATTTTCCACAATGGCGGTCATACAAACAAAACCAGCCGGTAAGACCAAACAGGAAATACGGATAGTGTAGAGCTGATGTAGATTTGACCAATCAGAGGCCTCCTGTCTGCAGTCACCTACAATTTCAGAGAGATGCACCAGAGTGTCTGCGGATGGGACTGGGGCTAATCTGCGTTAACTGCGACACACACGCAGGCGACCTGGTTCCTGAGCATAATTTAGCCTTATGTGGGCAATGGTGTTGTTTATATGTAGTGATTCCTATGTAGGGCTGCAATTTAATTTAGATTTTCCTTTGCACTAACCACATGCAGATAAATCTTTCACTCCAGGGTTTAAGTTTATTCATGACCTTTGCAACTTTCCTTTCCAGAGTCCAATGTTGCAGGACTTCACTGTTACCTTTGTGTGAATAAGTACTACATTCTACTTGCTTGCTTGAGTCTGCAGGCTCTCTTCCCGTCTGTGTGTTTGCAATCCTTCCTTATGAATATTACTGCCACCTAAAGGGATGGAGTGAGAAATTTATTTACTATTGTTAATGTGACCAAAGCTGAGTGCCCCTGCAATTTGAAAATGGTGTTTTGTTAATCACGATTATATTGAACCTGCAATTAATTGCCCAGCCCTATTCCACTGTCAACCATCCAATCATATCACCTTCTTAAGGTGATCTGATTGTGGAGCAAAGGACATGATTTGTGACTAGACTTAAAGGCTGGTTATACTCCCCGCCGCAGTGAGATTGACGCAGACATTTTTGATTTATGCTCAATTTTGAAGCGTGTCTGTGCTATACACTGTGGGTCTAGAAATGGCAGAGGCGTTGAGGAAGTGGGAGCGAGTTTGTCCGACAACGGAGGGACATGAGAGCGAAAAAATAGTGGGGATCCAGGTGGAAAAATGGTCCCAGGGTCCTCGCGCACCTTGCTTTTCTAGCTGGTCCAACTTCACAAGTTGTTTTCCCGAAATTGCGTCATAAAAACAAAACAAGCCGCCCTCCTGGCCCCTACAATTAGGGAGAGGTGCAGCAGAGTGTTTGTGGATGGGGCAGGGTTGTCTTTTTATTTACTGCGACACCTTCGCAGATGACTTAGTTTGGAAGTATAATTCAGCCTTTAGACTTAGACAAACTTGAACTTTGAGTGTATACAAAACGCAATTTCGTTTTGTACAGCTCTCATAAAATTTCCATTTCCAAATAAAAGTGATGTTGTGGACAGATTGTTACATCTGAGCAGCAGCCCCTCGGGAGTTACTCTGGTCCTCTAGCTTGCTTCTTTAATTAATTTTCTCCTTGTCTGGTCTGTCAGTTTAAGTAGATGGATTCTATTTTAAGGCAGATTGAGTCTTGCTTTGATAGATGTTTATATTATCTTTATTACCTAACACTGCTTTATGAGCATTCATAACCTCATCATTGATCTGTTTCAAGTTTTGAGGCCTTCACCGAACAGCTGGGTTTAAACCAAGAGTAAAACATGAAATAGATTGACTCTCTACTTCGTTTAGAAGATGAGTTCTAAAGTCAAGTATTTGCAGTTGGTGGTTATTGGAGATATCAGAGTAAAGGTCTAATACAGATTTCACTTCCAACTTAAGCCTTACTTTGTTCGTTGTGTGAAATTTGTGGTGATAAAATCATGAAATATGTAAAATCTCTCGAGGTATGAATACTTTTGTTGTTCTCTCTGTATGTAGACACTGACCATGTACTTTTTATTATCCGTTTTCCATGCAGTTCAAGTCTTCTGAAAGCCTTTCGAAGGAAGTGGCAGCCCCGAGCTCATACTCGTCACTAATTAAAGCTGCGTACATTCAGGGACCAGGTGCTTTGCTGGAGGACATGTTCAGGCAAAATGCAGAAAAAGCTCTAGCTTTCATGTCACTGAAGGAGTTTCCAGTTTTAATCAAGCAGATTTTGCTTTACATTAAATCCACAGTGGAAAGCTATGGAAAGGTAAGAACGTAATATAGGCTCAACTGGAAATATCTAAATAAAATGATTTACTCTATCTTATCCATTTTTTGAAGCTCCCCAAAGAGCATGGAGATGCGTTTTTGAGGACTCTAATGGAATTACTCCAGGATGTAGTAACCAGACTCCAAAGTTTTGAGGAGACAACAAACGTAGAACCAGTGGCAGAAGAATCCCAGGAGGGATCAGACCTCTTTTCGGATCTGAACCACTCATTAACCATAGAAACCAATAAAGAACAGGTTTGAGAAAGGCTTGTTAAATAACTTTGTAAACAGCTTCTGAAATAAGCTCATTAAAGAAACTCCTGTGTTTTTAGGTTGTTGTTTCAGCTCTGGCCTCGATCTTCAAGCATCCATGTCTGGAGCAGTGGTTTCTGGCTCTGGAGCTGGCTGCAGCCCCTCCTCACTCTCTGAAACCGGTTCCACTAAAGCGCTTATGTGCTCAGCTGACAGACCTGATTCTGAGCCTGCTGAAGATCAGCGCTCCCGCTCTTTTCGAGCTCAATCACCTTGAGCTTATTTCTGGCTATATGGGGGCTATAGAAAGGGCTGCTTTGAAGGAAATGTCCGAAAGGGGTTCTCGCCCCCCAAAGACATATTCAAGGTCTTTCCAGGCGCTACTGTCTTTACACAGCTACATGGACTCCAGTGAGCTCAGAGAATTGGTCTCTAGGTTGCTGCTTCTCCCTCATGAAAGCCTCATCTGCCCCAGCTGCGAAGGGACGCAGCCTGAGCTCAGCGTTTACGGCCGTGCAGCGCTGCAAATCCTCACAAAGTGTTACTCTACTTCATCTCAAAATGAAAACGGCTTTCTGACACAAGCGCACCTCCATGGCTTAGGCACCCTTCTCCTGTCCTGCTCCAGCCCTGAGCTGGAAGCCCTCCTGCTCCAGACTCTGTCAAGCAGCCCAGGCAGTGCCAAGCTTATCCACACAGATGTGCTGTTGCAGTGCCTCCGGCGCTCCCTCCCAGACCCTTTGGCCATCAGCTCGCTGCTGTTACAGAACTGCTCTTCTCACCGCCTCTGCTTTGAAGTGTGGTGTGAAGAACCCACCAATATGGAGAAAGTGTCAGAAACCAAGGCTTTCATTCCTCTGATTAATACGTATTTGAAGATGGTTCAAAGAGAAGACCCCGCCAGACCAAAAGATGGTGTGCTCTAGTTTATATGAAATGGATTTTCTTACTGTTATATATCATTATTTAAATGAAAATACCATTATTTTTTTGCTTTTTCATAGTTCAAACAGAGGTTTTAAAAGCCATGAAACAAGCCCTTCTTTCCACGTTTATTCAAAGTATTCTGGGAAACCTGAGCGAGGATTCTGGAGCTGTTCTTGTAGAAGCTGCGTCGAGTCTCATCAAACTCTCTGCAGATGTGAACGACATCAGGGATTTAATCAACCGCCTTCCTGATGCTCTTCAAAAAGCTGAGGGCTTTGAGAGGTGACCTTTTCAGTAATACCAAAATAATACTTCTTTAATAAAATAAAGCTAGACACATTGCAACCAGAGACTTAGTGTTATTTTATTGGGATTGACCAACAAAAGTTAAAAGTAAAATAGTTTGTTTACAATATTTTATTTATTTCACTGTTTTCCTTCGTGATGGTGTTTGCCACCTTAGATAAGAAATTCATTGATTCTGCAGGAACTTTTCATACCAAGGATTATGCACAAGGAATTACATATAACACAAAATGAACTCATGTTACGGTGTAGTGGAGGATGTTCTTTTTTTGGGTGGATCACCAAAATAATTGGTCCTCCTAATTGTCAATCATTCTGGTAATATGTTGACGTAAGGCCGTCCTATGTGCTCGTCCCCATTTTCACTTACCGGTGGCGAGTCTGACATCGTGGAACAATTTTAAATCTTCTTTTAGAAAGTAAGCTTGTATGAGCGATGCAAACAGCAGCTTTTAAACCGACCGTGCACGAGGAGAAATGGGCTCATGCACGCTCTCACACGTGTTTATTAGACGTTCCCTCTTGAGAGCGGGTACAGGGTTATGCATGTGCATTTCTTTCTTAAAAAGTGGAGAGACTGGGTACTTTTCAAAATTAAAGGAAATCCTCCACTGTACTTTTAAGAACGTGGAGCATTGTTTCCTCATAAAACCTCTGCTAATTGGTTCAACTCCTTCACCCTACTGTCCAAGCACACCACAGCTCAGATAATGACACTATATAATAAAACATCTGCAGCATTTTCCTGCAGATGTTTACAGGCCCAAGTCTCTTTAGATGTTTGTTAAACTGGGTTAGTTCTGCTAAAGGTACCTGGGGTCCACATAGTCAGTAAAGCGGACTGAACAGCCATCTGAGGAGACTTGGGTCTTTGAACTCACAGAACCGCTGGAAATTAATAAAATGGTGGATGGGTGGACTCCTGCTCATTGCCTGACTCCTGAAGGAAATATTTTGCCATTTATTTTTTTTTTTTTAAGTTTATGGGAATAAAGATGTGGGCAAAGGAAAACCTTCATATCCTTATTTTCATTATTAATTTAAATATTTTGTTTTGGTCTGTCAAAATCCCTAATAAAGTGCTCTGAGTGGTGGTTGTAAAGTGGCACCGTTTTACCGTAACAAAGCCTTTTATCTATTGTCAGATAACCATTCTATGTCTTCTTGTCAGATGGTCTCTAATAGATGTTATAACAGAAAAACTAGCTGACTGCACAGAGGAGCAAGAACAATGGAGGACGTCTATTGTTGCTGCAGCCATAAAGTGTCTAGTAGCCTCTTACTGCCACTTTAAAGATCAGGCTGCTTCTCCATCAGACCAGGAGGAGGGAATCTTAAAAAGACTGAAACAACTCCTGGTGGGTTTTTATCTCCTTATTCATTTATAATTACAGATATTCTTTTAATTCTGAATGAATTGTTCATTTTCTCTTTTAGAAATCTGCTGGAGACATCAGCTCGTCTGACTGGAACAGTTTTGTCAAAAATGGATTGAAGTAAAACTGCATCCAAACGCATTATTTAAACTGTAATGTCAGTGTTATTCAATGACTTGACTATTTCTCTAAATACTTTAGGTATCGCTATTATGATCAGCATTTCCTGGACTCTCTAAGTAGTCTTTTGGAGCTAATGTACGAGAGTACGGTATTCCCAAAGGATCTGATTAATGTACCAACTCTCCACATGATGACCACAAGCCATTCTCAGTTTCTGCCCATAATGCTGGACTCCAGTGAAGACCCTAAGCTGTGTCAAACAAGAGGTTTAGTTTCTTATCAGAACTCCTTAACTAAAGCCAGTGTTTTTTCACTTATGTGTTCGTTGGACATAAACGTGCATTTTGCTGTCATTTCAGAGGCCTTAATTTCACTTCTTCTTTGTCTGGTGAAGAAGGCGCCACAAGTGTGCAACATCAATCACTTTGTGGTGCTTTTGGCAGCATATGGAGCAACACTTTCAACTTCAGGTAGAGAGCAAAAGTCATTCAGAGCTGGATCAGCATGTACCGTCTGATTTGTTTTTCTTTTATCTTACAACATCTTTTGCCTTGCAGATCAAAAACTGTTACTGCTTCTTCGGGAATATGAAAGAAACCAAGTCAGCTTGCTGAAATTTCAGTAAATTGGATTTATTTATTTATTTATTTTCTTTTTTTTTTAGAGTGCGCTTGTTTGATGCAGTCTCTGAGGGTGAGGTGTTTTGTTTTTCTGCAGATCACTCCTGTGGGGCCCTGCAGCTGTAGAACACCACAAAACCAGAAAAACCCTGGGCGCTTCTCTGTGGAAGCAGCCGAGCTCTAACGATGTGTTGGCCCTGCTGAAAGCCAACGTGATGCTCCAAACAATTTTAAGATTTCCACAGGAGCGCAGAATCAGCCCCCAGGTTCAAATCATATTCCATTTGTTTAGTTTATTTGCCTTGCTGAAAATGTCCTGAAAGAGATGAGTTCCCTTATACCAAATTGGTTTCAGAATGATTATTTTTGATGTTTTTTACTTCAGGATGGTACCGAGCTGCTGTGGAGTGATGATGCAGGGAAAACCCTTGAGGATTTATATGATCCATGTTTCCTTTTGCCCCTTTTCAGCGCTATATTGCGACCAGGTAACATTTTATTTTACTATAATTTACCAGGATAAAATCTAACAAGTAAAGTTAAACCAGATAATCCTAATTTATCAGGTGCATTTCAAGCTATATGGTTTACCATAGTAAAGTATAATAAATGTACTTGGGGCAAAAAGATAAAAGGGAAATATTTAATTATATAAAGTCACTGAGTTTATATAGCTCAAAATTGACCCTTCAAATTTAATTGTAGAGTTACTCAGAAATGGTTTCATGTAGGGAAAATAAAATATCCTGCAGCTTTTAAAGCATGAGTAAAAGATGCACACTGGATTGAGAGGGAGGCTGTTACAGAATACTGACCAATCCGACTAATCTAGAATACTAGACATCTAAGATGACTTAAGAACTTCAGAATTATATGAAAAAGTAAAGTTTAGAAATATATCTGAGAGTCAAACCATGCTGAAATGAATTTTAAAAAAATAATTTTAAAATATAATCATAAAATGTGAAAAGTTTCAGAGTTTTAAGACATCGATTTTTGAGGGCTCATTAGAATGGAGAAAAAAGTTGCTCCAAAATGGATCAGTTACAGAGGGTGAAAATATACCGGATTAATAGAGGGATCATAGATATTTAAATTACGGTATTGGAACACATAGGGGTATAAACTGGCAAGAATTTGGCAATAAGATCATTTCGGTTGTAGTTGGGGAATGGTGGCCTAGTAGTTAGGGCATAGAGCTTGGAATCCTGAGGTTCTAGGTTTGAGCCCCACTCCCACAGACTGCCACTCTGGGTCTTGAGCAAAGACCCTTAGCCCCACACTGCTCCCTAGGCGCCCTATGGTGGCAGCCCACTGCTCCCCAAGGGAATGGGTTAAGTGCAGAGGTCAATTTCTTCAATGTGAAATCATTAAAGTACTTTGGAATCCAATTAATTTTATTTTTGCTTTACGAATTCAGTGTTAATAATAATAATAATAAAAAAATTATAGTTTCAGTGGTATTGAGATTGTATCCCACTTTTCTAATTCTGATTTGATTGAAAGTGGTCATTATCACTTAGAATAAGTTAAAAATATGTAAAATTCCTGAATTATGAATGTACATTGGCCTAATATTCCAAAGAACATCTTTTTTTTAAATCTTTTTTTAATCTTTTAGATATGTATATATGGACTCTTTTTTTTTTTTTTTTTTTTTTTTTTGCTTTTTTGCCATACTAACGGAGTTTTATTTTATTTTAACATTAAAAATCTAAAATTCATTAAATCATTCAACTCTATATTGATTTATAAAAACCAAGTGATTATATTCTATTTTAAATAAAATATTTTAACTACATTTACCGGTAAGTATTTAATTCCTCATTTTAAAATATTTAAAATGAGACTGTTAAATGGTATATTTAATGTTTAAATTGTGTATTAGATGAATAAACAAATGTGACATCTACTGATTTTATGGTATATTTATGTATTACATGATATATTTTGACCCTACATAAACCTCAGTTATCACAATGCAATGATTGTTAAAACCATCTTGTGATCCACTTTTTTTGAACCTCTGATCTAAATATTTATCATGATTTTTTGCATTTTCAGTTGATACAGTTATTGTCTAAAGATATATCACAATATTTGACAGAATGTATTTTTTTCTTACACACATAGAAGCATAAATCCCAACCCCATTCCAAAGGAAGTAAAAGACAAACTATGATCGGCCATCTTAAATGTTTTTTCACTACTAAAATATGTGAGAATAACAAATCTGTTCTTTTCCTTTTGTTCTGCTGCAGAATGTGTTGTTGACTGCGTTAAATTTGTTTCCTGCCATGCTTTTGGAGTAACGGCGATGGCTCTCAGTAGCTTTGACCCAAACATGCGAGCCGCAGCGTACCATGTACTGGCCTGTTTCTACCATCATCTGGAGGGCGCCCGGTTCAGAGAGAGGACGCAGGTATGCGGTCATGAACTCTTAGTCTGTTTGAAAATCGCCTCTAAAGCCTGACAGGCTTTTCTCTTTTCCACCAGCTGCTGTATTTGATGGACATCATCAAGAATGGAATTCTGAAGCAGAACCAGAGACTCCCATTTGTCCTGGCTACTTACATCAGCAGAGTGGCTGAGCAGATGCTCAGACCCGGTGTGTACTTTGAACTGTATCCCTGATTGACCCGCGATATGTTCTATAGCATTTTTTCTTTTTTTTCATATTTATGCCTTGTTTTGCTTTTGCTGTTTTGAGTAAATATAATATTAGGGAATTTTTAGGGTTTCTAAACTTTTCCTTTGTGCTTTTTTGTGTTTTTTTTCAGAGGACCACATGTATCTGGTGTTAAACAGATTTCTGCTATCACACCAGAGTTTGGATTTAAGAAGAGTCCCGGAGTTCTTCAAGCTATTTTATAGTTTTGACCAAGAGGTAAATGATTCTATGTGTAAAAGAAACTCATTTTATTCAGTGTTTGATAAACTGTTCTTACCTCCACATTAAATAACCTTCATATGCATTTGTTTTTTTGTCGTCTTCCCAGAACAAAGTGGAACGTGATTGGATGCTGAATTTGCTGCAGGAAGGAATAAGTGATGCACTAAGCTATGAACTGTGCAACCACCAAAGCATCTTCCAGGTCCTTCTGGGTTTCAGCAGCAGCCCCCTGTGCAGTGAGAACGTCCAGGTACATGCTGCTGCAGACACAATCGTAAATCACATTAAATTGAGACAATAGTGAGTTTATGAGCTTTGATTTTGATGTTGATGTGTGAATCTTTACATAGGGACAGATAATCAAGGTGTTGTGTCAAGCTGCCCGTGTGCCAAAGGCAGTTTATAACCTCACTAAGAGCGGTGGGCTTCTGAGCTGGATGATACAAGTAGTAGAGAAAAAGTAAGTTCTCACACCTCTGACAATGTTTGGGGAATTGAGATGCATAAGATTTCTAGAAAGCTTCCATCCCTCAACCATTTCTTTATTTATATAATTAAAGCCACAAACTTAACTAGGGCATCATTGTGAAACAAATTAAAATATGCAGTTTTTTTTTTTAATACTAAAAGTTGGAAAAGTGTTTATTTAAGACGATACCCCTAAATAAAGTCCAGTGCAGCTGTTGTCTCACATTTAACCTGGGTGTAATTACAGCTGTTTTCCGAAGCTCTCAGAGGTCTGTTAGAGAACATCCAAGAACCGAAGCTGACAGGTCGGGGGAAAAGTTGTGGGAAAGTTTGCAGGAGGAGAAGCCGCAGAGATTCACAGTCCATGTCAACAGGACAGCTGTTTGTGGCGTGCTCTATAAATCTGACATTTATGGATGAGTGACGAGATGAAAGTCTCTGTTGAACGCAATCATATGAAATCCCATTTTGCAACCCAAATCAAACAAAAAAATGTTTTTGGGAAGACTTGGAAATGAATGTTCACAGATGCTTTCGTGCAAACCATGGAGCTAATAGAGACGGGCCAAAATAATCAGTATTTAACACTAATACTAGTACTAATACTAGTTCTAGTAGAACTCTGGCAGTCAATTTGATGGGTGACATTTTTCCTAATGGAACACAAGAGTAGTGACGATATCATTGACAGAAATAGTTCTAGCGTGCCATATAATCCCATTGTGGATATGTAGACCTTAAAACAGGTTGTAACCTTTAAAGGTTGTATAATATAATAGTATTATTTGTAGTCTAAATTTGTATTAAAATTGCAAAAAAATGGAAAACTAAATAAGTAATTTTTTCTTAAAATAAGGGCATTTGATTTTAAACTGAGGAGGTAAGTGAGACACTTTGCTAATGGATCAATTGACATTTAAAATAAGAAAAAAATTATTGTATTATCTAATTTCCAGTGGATATTATATAATTATCCTATTTGAAAGAATCAAATACTCGTTCCAGTGGCATATCATTTAATTAACCTGCTCAACTGAAAGTAAAATACACTCAGTTTAAGACCTTTTTACTCTTTTCTATACCGTCTTTTGCAGTCTGGAATGTTGGTTGCTAGGCAACAGTATTTACAATGCAGATTCGGTCAAAATGACGGCTTTGGGAGATCGAGGTCAGATTAACCATATTTATTTTTTTAGGTTTTTATTTTATTTTTTTTAAAAAACTACATGAAAAAGAAGGAAATATAAAACAGGAAAAGTCAGTTAATATGACCAACATAAGAATAATGTCGTTAATGAAGTTCTTTCACTTCAAAATCTCAGAACCGTCGAAATGGTGGCCTTGGGAAGTCTAGTGTTAAATAATTAAATCTGGTAGAAAGTTAAAGATTTTCAGTTTGTTACTGTAGCTGCTTAAAAGGTGCTATGAGTAGTTTTACAGAAGATCCTTTATGGTCTTGTTTCATGTGTTAAACACTAATCTATAGTTGTGTTCTGGCAGGAATCTGACCCAGCAGACAATCTGCGCAGTCATCGACCTTCTTCACACTCTGTGGTTTACCAGCCTTGTGCAGACGGAGAAAAAGGTCGATAGAAGCGTTTCCGCCTTGTCTACTGAGGAGAAACCTCCTGGATTAGCCAAATGTCTGCCACTCCCAGTCATCAGAGAGTTCCTCTGTGTGGCTTTGGCCATCAGCAGACACCTCAGGTAAAAACCTCAGTAGAGAAAATGGGGAGATGAAGGTTAGAAAACATGGAGATGTCTGATGATAGAAATGCTTTGTGTATTTTGGTCATAGGATCAGTGTTTTGTTTTCCCTTCCTTTCAGGCTGGGTGTGAAGGCCGCTCACTTCAGCCTGTTTGTACAAACTCTTCACTCCGTCCTCGATCATCAGGGTACAGCTCTCAGCATAAACAAACAAACAGAGCGCCTCTCCCTCCATCCACAGCCGCTCTCCTCCACTGAAACTCTCTCTCTGCTACTCTGCTGGGCCACGTTGTCCCAAAACAGCTCCTCTCTAACCCAAATACAAGCCCTGTCTGAGAGGCACAAATTAAAAGAACTAATGGGTGAGTCCTTAAAAAAAAGGATAACTGAAGTATTCATACTTTTTGATCTTTTTCAGATCTGATGCCTCATAACTGAAACCGAATTTATCTTTATTTGGATTTTTGCAACAGATCAACATAAAACAGAGCAGGATGGTGAATCCTGTAGCATTCTGAGTCTGTTCTTTGTAGAAGCACCTTTTGCTGCATATAAAGTTGCTGTTTTTGTGAGGATATACAGACATTTGAATATCTAGAGAATAAAACAGTTTTTGTCTTGTTTAAAAGCTGCTACAGCTCAAGTCTTTTTACATTTCCTAACGAGATTTAGGCCAAGACTTTAAACTGGGCCTTTCTTTTATTCCACTGTAGCTGTTAAAAGATTGCATCATTATTCTCTGCATCCACACAAAATATGAAAAGGTTGAATGGCTTTGAAAGTAAATGTAAACATTATATCATAATTAGTTCACTCTGCAGCAATAATATTTCTTCTGAATGAAAATGAACCTATGTATCTTTATTTTTAGGGATGTGGAAGCATAAGGTGCGCAGTAAGGGCCGCGTTAACCTGGAGAAGAACAATACAGAGAAGGACTGTACTGTGAACAAAGAGGAGAGTCTTCTTGCGGGCTGTAAAGTGCATCTCTGTGGTATATTTGTGCACTGGGAGCCGGTGTTTCAGCTCTCAGAACCACAGTCACCTCAGCCAAGAGACAGGCTGGACTCCATACAGCTGGCCTGCGATACGGCGCACCTGCTTACAAAGTGGTCCCTGAGGTGGCTGGCGGAGGACACGAACGATGAAAACAGAACAAAGCAGTTCCTGACATGGTTTGAAAAGGCTGTAATCAAACACAAGGAAGTCGTGGAAGTTCTGATGCACGATTCCGGCTTGAAAGCCGACCTCCTTCTGCTCTTCCATCACACCTTTGAAGCTCATGGTCACTCCAGCTTTTCAGAGAGGCTGGAAACCTGCCAGCTCTTCACAAACACCATGATCCGCTTATTGGAGATGCAAGGCCAGCTCCAGGAGTTCCATCAGGCCGTTATCTCTGCATGCCTGCCAGATCAGGATCAGTCCAGACATGGTGAGAACCTGACCGCTTAATCTGCTATAAATCAAATAAAACTTATTATGCATGTAAAAGACACATTTTGTTTTTAATTAATTGAATCTCTTATTTAAGGATATTTTAAATTCGCCTCTGTAGAAGCCAAGCAGACTTACTCTGCCTTAACAGATATTTTCTTTTTAATGAAAAATTACTAAATAGAGTGAAAAATAAACAGATATAGCAAAATTCCTTCTGATCTAAACGTGGCCTCAAGATGGAATAGTAGTTTGCTAATTTAAACACATCTTGTACCGAGGAAGTAAGGACTGCCAGTGGACGTTATATTTTAGCAGACATGTATTATTACTTTACATTTTAAGCATTAGTGACTTTAATTGTTAACATGTTTTCTGGGGTGCGGTCCGCACAGTTGGCCTGATTTTGAGCAGATGGTGAAATAAATTAGATTTAAGGATTTCTCCACTCAAATGCTCCTTTTTCTTTTTGACATTTTGATGTTTTATATTATTTCATTTTAAAAAGGAAGGATAAGGAAAATGTCCAAAACCAAACTTGCCCACTATAAATGTGAATTAGCCTTTCAAGCCACAGTTGACAATAAGAGTTTGCAATTTTAAAAATCTCACCTGCTATAATAACAGAGCTTTGTGTGGCGTCTAGAAGTATGTTTATTAATTAATAAAGTACTTTGTAATAAGCGTTGAGGGTTTTTCCTGTTTTATTTAAAACGAAATAGAAAACTTTTACAATGTTACTCATTTTCCATGGATTGTTGCTGTTTAAGGTTTTGTTTTGTTTTTTTCTTTCCAGAGGCAGGACTGTTTCTGTTGTCGTTGTTCATCCATGAGCTGTGGAGTGGAGCGGCTTCAGCGGAGCGGTTCCTTTCCCATGTCAGCTTGGTTAGCGGAGCCAAGAACCAAAGACAAAAAGGGTCCAAATCATCAAAGACTCGATCAGCCGTCAGAGACATCTGTAGAGAAATTATCAAGATGAAAAGTTAAACACTTGGAAATCTCACTGTCTTTTCAGTTTTTTATATTTTTTTTGTTATGCTTTTAGAGAGGACTGCAAAGTTTGTAAACATTTATATGAAATTTTGACTTTTTTTTTTTTTTTAGATCAGGTGAAACTTGCTTTAGTGTTTTTCCTAATTCAGGGTTTGCTCCTTCTAAACACATGAAATTTACAATATAATAAAAAATATATTATTATGTAATTTTCTTGAAATTTTTTTTCATGTTGCTGTTTAATGCTTAAAAAAATGATGATGTAGTAAACATCTGCTCTGTGCTTTGTTAGCGGAACAACAAAAAGGATCAAGCTTTCTTTTTCTGCTGGAGAAAAACTCATTTTAAGTGGATAGTTTTTAAACGTGTACTTGAATATTTTTACTACTTACCTCCAGAATAAGACCGTAGTCAAACAGTTGAGCTTTCATGGTGTTCCCTCACTTTGGATTTGTGTATCCTGGAGTGATCATAAGATCACATTTTAAGACATGGCAGGGAACAAGATCAGTGGACTGCATAAGTTACTCATTTTAAGTATTTAATCCTTGAAAGCATGTTTTAAACTTACTTTGGAAGCTTCACCCCGAGAGACATTAGATTCAAAATAAGAAAGAGAAATCCCACAAAAGCAGCCAGAGATATCCATAGTATTATGACAATTGAGTCTGAAAGGAAAGGACATGTTTTCATTATTATCATAAAGAACATTTTACAACATAAGAAAAAATAAATCAGGAGTGAATAAGAACTTACATTTATGGTATTTGAGCTGGCTCTCATCCACAAAGACAGGATCGAGATAATCAAAATAGTATTCCCATTCATATGGAGGAGTGCTGGTAGAGATCCCTACAAACCCCAGAGTTTCATTTCTGAGCAAATGGTCTGATGTCCTGTTTCTAGAAGCTGATGTTGATCCGACCATAGCAAAAGCAATAGAACTCCCCAAAAATAGCTTTTAACACCCAGGAGCTGTTCCTACAGATGCGTCTGATCCGTCCTCAGGACTGATGGTTACAGAAAAAAAAAAAGTGCAGCACGAGATTCATGCAGTAATTTAAATGTACCACAAGATGGCGTTTGATTTGTAAAATTAAGAAAAACGTGAAAGAAAGTGAATTACTACTTAAGTGAATTAACACACACAAAAACATATATATATTTATATATATATGTGTGTTTGAATGAAAACTTAAGTGAATTAACACTTAAAAATATAAATATCTATCTATCTATCTATATATATATATATATATATATATATATATATATATATATATATATATATATATATATATATATATATATAGATATTATTTCTTAAGGCATTGAACACTGAATTACGTTTGAAGTGTTCACTTACTCTGTTTTGTTAATAAACGCACCTACCTCAAAATTTGTCTACTGTTTATATTTCAAAAATTAGATCTAAACTGAATTTAACAAAACTTGGCTGGGAAACAATTAGTCGCTGTGTACCCGCATATATCTATTACTAACAACACTGGTGTTTGATCGTTATATTTTTATACAGAAGTATATATTGAAACATAATCATATGGTCGAAAGAGTAATGTATTTCCCTTCAAATATATTCGGAGCACAAATGTCCTCCTAGACTGCCGATGTAGCAAATATTGAATCGAACAGCAGGGGGAGCTGTAGCAAAAATAGGACATATTTTTATATCACATTTGGTTTTAATGAACATTCTCCCTTGAAACTTTGTGAATATTACAAACAGGTCATGGTTTTTTTTAATAAGGTTCCTGAAAGTAAATAAAGTAAAACATATATATTTTTAAATCGCCAGAAATGATGCCTATCGAAGCATCCCGATCCACACTCCATTCCAGTAGATGGCAGTAATGTGCATCAATAATTTGCTTGCCAACTGCAATTAAAAAAAGAAAAACAAGCCTATCGGACTTCCTGTTCCTGCGGAAGTTAGCTAGACCTCTTCAGATAGGGCGGTATTTATAGCATTTGGCTTGGATTCTTTTTGTTTTGTTTTTTTCTTCAGAACTTAATTCCACATTGTTTATTTCTCATTCTGAAATAAATGTGAGAGTTGAACATTGTGCAGCATTAACAAGCCGCCATGGATGCTGTGAACGCGTTCAACACGGAGGTAAGGTTTAGCCCTAAAGCTTAGCCGTTAGGTTAAAGGTAATGCTAACTTGTCTCAGTAAGTTTAGCCTTTTAGGTTAAGACGGACATTATTATATTAGCACAAAAAAGGAACATGCTAGTCTATATTTTCCGTTCGGCAACGGATTCCTTTTTTGTGTGTGTTTAGTTGAGGACTGAACACGGTTGTTAAGGCCTCTAATCTCGCGCTACAGACCAAAACATGCTAATACACAAATTACGGCGTTTTGAATTATTGTGGAAACACTAGCTTTGATTAACCCCTGCTTTTTAATGACAAGGGCTTAGATTTGCTTACAGATAAAAACGATATGTTTTGCTGTTTTTCCATCTTTCTTGGTTTGAAATTAATCTAAACGTCATACCTTATTGATTGATTGGCTGACTTTATTCATCTCACAGTGGAGAAATTCGCTTAATTCACCTAAATGTTGTATCCGCATTACTATTATTAAAATACGTGTTTTCGGTTATGTGTCTTAATTTTGGATCAAAAGATGCGTTTAACTCCACTTGTCTTTTTCTTTGACTATAAATCACGTGCATACGGCTTATCTTTACTCTTTTCAAAAAGATATTCAGAGTGACCAGTTTGACTGCCAGTCATCTTCGAAATAACACACCTATAGAAACTTTGCCACTTCCCCTTTCTAGGGCTGTTGTTGCCGATTAGCGATCAGCTGATCAGGGTCACAGTGGCAATGTTGATGGCATAAAAACAAGGATTATAACATGAAGTGGATGTGATTTTAGACTCTTTGCAGGTATACGTGGTTAAATGGTGATACTACTTAAAGTTTTTGTACAGTCTGTCTACTGCAGCCTTTACTAATACACAGTGAGAAACAATAATTAAATAATACCTTTATTATGATGTTTGGTAGAATCAATATATTCTGTTTAAACAGTTTTATGTTGTGTTTATCATGGAGGCCAGGCTGTATCTTTCCGATGAGATAAAACCACAGTTTATGTAAATTACCTCACATAATCTGGTCTCCTTTTTTTTTATCAAACCAGTTGTTCTCCATGATCGAAATGAAGCCTCCAATATCGAGGGCTAAGATGATGTCCGTTACTAAATCAGCTATTAAAGCCATTAAGGTAGGTGAAATATTGTAATGGTACTTGATCTATACATGTATATTTTTACTCTTTCTCTCTTGTACTAATGAACATTTATATCTTTATTCAGCTGTACAAACATGTTGTCCAGATTGTTGAAAAGTTCATCAAGAAGGTATGTACAGTTAGATGATTTTTCTTGTTAATTAATCTTTAATGATACTGGTCAAGAAAGGCTCAAAACCTACAATTAACTATTTATAGGGTTTATTAATATTCTATAGAGGCTGACTTTGCACAGAAAAAAAATGTACTAAAGACAAGAAAATATGTTATTTGGGTTCAGCTGATATCTGCTCTTTCCTCGCTGATGTATACACTTCTCTCTAAATAACCCAGTTACAAATTTTCTTTGAAATCCTGGCACCAAAAAAGGCCTTTAATTTACAGGCCTGGACTGTTGACTTTAAAAAAGTAGAAAATGTACATTTCTTTTTTTTTCTGTCTTTGTTCTGTTAGTGTAAGCCAGAATTGAAGGTTCCTGGTCTATATGTCATTGACTCCATTGTTCGCCAGTCACGCCATCAGTTCGGTGTTGAGAAGGATGTTTTTGCACCCAGGTTTTTAAAGAACTTCACAGAAACTTTTCAAAACCTTTACCACTGTCCAGAGGATGATAAGGTAAAAATGTTTAGTATTAATAAACGTTGAGAGCCTGATTGAGACATTTCAAAAACTCCAGTGTTAATTTTTTGTTTCTCAGACTAAAATAGTTCGGGTGCTGAACCTCTGGCAGAAGAATGGTGTGTTTGATATGGAGATCCTTCAGCCTCTTATGGATATGGCCAATGGTACTGCTTTGCCACCTCCTGCCCTGGAAGGTAATGAAGTGTTAAAACATTGTACGCAGCAAGTGCATTTATAACATACTTTGATGAGATATATTCCCTTGTTGTTAAATCATTTACATTCCTGTTTCTTAGCAGCTCCTATCAACCCACAACCAGAAACTAGAGCTCCAGTCAGTATCCCCTCGTCTGTACCTGTTGTGCCACAAATACCAACTCCAGAAGCTTTAGCTGCTGTGGCACAACTGTTTAAATCTTCCCACGCTCAGGAGGTAAGTATTATGTTGCCTTAGGTTCTTCATTATATCAGCTTAGATTGTGTTTTTCTAATGTCCCCTTTCATTTCATCCACAGCTGCAGAGGATGCTTCAGGAATTTCAGCAGCCAGATAAAACAGTTGGAGCTCCTTCAATTGCCAATAACATAAACCAGCCTCAGATGCCAGGAACTCAACTTCATCCATGTAGTGCTGAAACTGCCAAGAAAAGTTCTTTAGCTGAGGTATTGATGTTGCTCAATGTAGAAAATATGTTGTGTTTGACTTTAGTTTCCACCATTGCTATGTTTGAATATATTTTTTTCCCCCCTAGAAACTACTTGACCGATTTGACTATGATGATGAACCAGAGGAAATGTCGATCTCAGAAGGCAACGTTCAGCCACAGTAAGTGTATAGGGAAACAACGTTGTAAAAATATAAACAAAAAAAAAAAAAAAACTAAAGATTACCTTTGAATCAAAGTTCAAATTGAAAATCACAGATGGGGTGCAACTAATGATTAATATGCAAATCGATGCTCCAAGTATGTGCCTTTAACTCTGTTAGATAAAGGCATGTTTTACAGTCTCTATACTAGAGTAAATTATTACTTCATTACCAAATTAGTTGACGATTATTTCAATAGTCGATTAATCTGGTTAGTTTCAGCCCTAGTAACCTTTTCACTCACTGACAAAGGTGCATGAAACTTCACCTTTGAGATTTCACTTGTAACAAAGGGATTTTTCTTCTCCACTGTTGCTACATGCAGGCTTGGTGTGAGGGATTGCTGTCGAGTTCTTAGAAAACTGACCGTATGTTCTTGTTGAGTTGTCTCCAAAGTGCTTATTTTCGGTTAATTAACAGTTTACGTTTTTTTTCATGTTATACATTTTTAAACCTACTCCCTTCTAGGGTTACAGTTTTTTGCCTGGTGGCTTTTATTTTGTGCAGGTCCATTTACGGACATACCCTGCAATAATGGTAGACAAGCACAGTTGCACCCACAAAGAAATTGAACAAAGAGATGTGAGGTCAAAATATCCAGGGTAGAGAAAAAGGAATTGATCTGAGAGAGGAAGTTGTGCTCAGATGATTAAAGAATATTTCCAGGGTTATTATCTTGATATACTAGGACCACCTAGTTGTAGATGTTATCAAAATAAATTGAATATATGAGTGAATGCATTTAAGCCACTTTTTACTTGTAAATCTTTTTTTTTTTTTTTTTAGAACTGTTTATATTGATAGTGTAAAAGTCTGGAATTGTAATGTCATTAGAAGCATAGAGTGTTTTTATTTCTTTAGTCTTAATCCAATGTGTGTTTTTGTCCTGACAGAAGTACACCTGATAATTTGTTAAACCAATTTCCTGCTCACAAGCTAAACACAGATGTTCATCATATGTTGGGACGGAGTGGGGATATAAAGGTAAATTTATAAAAAAAAAAAAAGCAAAACATGATGTTATATACATGCCGATAACTTAGTATATGAATGGTATTTTTATGTCCTGACAGATTATGTAATTTAACAGCAGCATTTAGCGTTTGTGCATAGTTTGGATAATTTGCATACTGTTGTTTCTTTATCTCTTAGCAGACTGGAGGAAAGAGTTATGAACAACATTTGACAGCAGAGGGATTTAATTCTGGAAAAGAGTCTGACCTTTATTCGACGGTAAGCTAGTCAATGCTTGTTTGCTGTTAGTTTAAGCAATACCATACCTTTGTTAATAGGATTTTTATTTAAAAAATTTTTGAACAAAGTGCAATTTGTAACAAGAAACATGTTTGTGTGTCAAATAGGAAAACTCTAGAGAAAATTCTTCCAGGAGGAATGATGGGAGAGACAGAAGCTACAGGACAAGGTCCAGATCTGCTTCCAGGTAATAACTGTGCCTTTCATACATAAATGTGAGGTGTTATCAGAAGAGCTTTGCGCAATTGTAAGGAAAGCCTTACCTAATCATGGCCATATACTGAATTCCTCAGTAAGCAGCACTAGTGTTATTAGGTTAGCTCTCAGCCATATTGTTATCTTGCTAATTGTTTAATCTGTGGATTATTTTTTTGAATAATAATCAGAGAAAGGTTCCTTAAAGAAGATTTGTTTAAAAGATTAAACCAGGTGAAAATCAAACCTCTTTCACTTGAGGAGTTCTGGGTAGAGCATATTGACAAATGAAATCCAGTATACCCCATTTAGTGATTAATTGATTACTAAATTAGATAAGAATTTTCTAATAATCAAATCATGATGAATCAAATTGATGATTTCATCCCTAGTTAGAATTAACTTTTTAAAGGGTGACAATATTGTAGTGGTTGCATGTTTTTGTGCTCCTGTCAACAAAAGAAGGGGAAATCAACAAGTTGTTTTCTCAACATTAAAGAAGACCATATTGGTACAGCAAAACATTTACAGAAGTTACTGACCTTGTAGTGTAGAGTGTAGTGCAGCAATATCCACCCAGATACAGCTTTTCGCTGATTGAGCAACATTCCATAATAAGCATTCCTAGGAAGCAGTCCTCCTCTGTTTTAAATTGGCAAACAGATCATTTAGTTGCTAAAACATTACAATCTATTACTGATTTCAAGTGTTCAAGCAGAGAAACTACACTTGCAACAGTGTTTATTCATGTTCAAATAAAAGACAATTCACCTCCAAGTCAAAGTGTAAGGTGTAGAGTCCGAAAACCTTTTCTTTTAATTCTTTTTTTCTCAGAAGAATTGAGCTCACACACAATCTCCATTGCATCTTCTTCAGCGTGTTTGTTTATTCCAAACTCAAATTTCAACTAGAGAGGTTTTACCAGTTTAGCTTGTGGTGTGCTGTGCTTCTCGTGTGGCTGGAGACTCCCTGTATGATCCAGACTGTTCTATTATAGATATGTATTTATTATCACCTTTAGTTTAAAAAAAAATCCCACGACCATATAAAAACCCTGCCACATGAAGCATCCTTTAGAAGTCATGAGTTCTAGAACAGCTGCCTTCTCTATATTCTGGTGATGTATTTTTACCTTTGCAGCTGTACAGTATGTGTGCCTCTAATCATGCTTATTATTAAACATTTAACACCATTGCAGTTTTAGCGTTGTGCTGGACGTTTGGTTGTGGTTTCACAACAAGAACGAAGTAAATGTGTTTCAGCCTTCATAGTCAAGCCTATTGCTACATTCTTATGAAAAAGGCCTTCCTTTTCTACACTGTAAAGACATACTCAGATAAGTTTGCTTTCTAGCTTTATAAAACACGATATTAATTTTAACTAGGTGCCTTGCGCCATTCCTTCATCCACATCGCACACCTGTCAGTGAGGCAACGTGTTCCCAGAACGCCTTTTCAGCTGGATGTTGCATTTAACATGACTAAATATGAATACTTGTTTCTGGCGAGGATTACTTTCCTGCAGATCAATGGTCTTAAAAATGTAGATTTTTGATCAGGTGTCTGCGGAAATGTATTGGGGTGCCCCAAGTCCTCCAATCTGAGTTTAGCTCTACCCTGAACAATTCCTTGCACTGTTTACAAGGATAGCATGATGAAGTGCTTTCACTCTGATTTTAATGGAAATAAGTTACTTATAGTGACAGAGTTGGTTGTCTAAGATTCAGGTTTTTAGCCTTTTGTATTTGTCCCTTTGCTGTATTAAAGCAGGAATGGCTCAGAATATCTTAGTTTAACAACACGATAAATTAAGCTAGCAGTTGGTCACATGCTGCAGGCTGTGGTCACATAAAGCACATAGAGGGAAGTTGCATGTGGTGAGTATTGTTGACAGGACACAACATGAGCTAGATGAGATAAGTGTGTTTTTGTTCTCAGAAGTAGATTTATTTAGCAAAGGTTATTTGAGGAAGCTGACATTAGTCTCTTGTAGCTGTCAAACTGTGGTCACATGTTGCATAGGAAAGCTGGTGGTCTGACAGTTGAACAATTGGTCAGGCCTGCATCCGCTGTTAGAGCTGTTAATTTATTTGACGTTGCAGCTCATACAACTAGCCTGCCACTATGAGTTGTCCCCAAGTGTCTAAATGAACTATTCTGGGATTTAGTCCATTACATTTAAGAGCTTATTTTTAATGGCCATTTGTCTTCAGTTATTTATTAAAATAACAAAGCAATACCTTTACATACTTACTAACACTATTTTTTTCCTTAAAGCTTTAACTGCACAAATTAATGTGTTTCCCTGTTTTTAGGTTGCATTTTTACACACAATTGCAATGGTGAAGATGAAAGAGCGGCAGAAAAATTGGAGAATGTTAATAACTGATAATTTGATAAAAAAAATAAATTTACACCGATAAATCGTAGCAATGGACAGAATAAGATTTAGACCCTGGAAATGGTCTCTTGTTAGTAAATATTTACAGGTATCTCCAGAGAACTTGTAATTGGTTGGTCGCCGCCGTCATTCATGTTTATTATCGAAAATTGCACATTAAAGTAGGAGAGGAAAAATGTATTCACTATTTTTGCACTCCACATCTGGTCAAGAGGCTCAGAATATAGATATACTTTTAACTTTTTTGTGTTTTGTCAGTGGCTTTCTTTGCCATAAAGCTGAGTCATACTTTATGTCTAGCATTGTGCCGATGCCAATACTTTACCTGGCTGTGAAGTATTGGCCGATAACATCTGTTTGAAATCAATGTGTGTGTGTGTGTGTGTGTGTATATGAAGAACTGCATACTACTTGGATGTAAAATAATTGCCATCACCACCATGGCTTTGTCAAGCTTCTGCCTACCATTGTGAAGCAGGAAAAAGACGAATATAAAGTGAATCCAGTAGAACTTTCTATTGCCTACCTGAAATGGGTAACAATAGTTGAATAAACTTTGGGCTCAAAAAGGTTTTGGTGCCCTATTTGTCGGAACCTGCCGATACCACCATTTTAGTGCTGGATGGGGGCCCCACCCGATACTGGTATCAATGCAGTAATAGTTATGTCTATAAGCAAGTGCAGATTTTACTTAGTGCAGATTTCCAAGCTATCACTGAGCTCTGCTTGGAGCTACAGTGCGGAAAGAAAGATGAACCCAACCTTATGACAGTGTACCCCGTTTCCAACTAAATTGCAGATCTGAAGCAATCTTAAGCTGCAAGTAAAGGCCAATTTATGCTTCTGATGCATAGCTTCTGGAACCATCAAATCTGTCTCTCAAAAACAGTAGCAAACCTGCGCAGACCTCAAGCGGAAGTGCGCAGACAAAAAGCAGCTGTAATTGGTCCATAGTATGCCTTTCCGGCTGTCTGTGTGGCCGTTGTTCTCGATTCAGTGCTGGGGCGTGCCATTTTTAAAAACCGAGGGGTAATACAGCAATGGATAACCATGACGAAAGATTGATTGAGGAGGTTCTGAAGTACAACTACTTGTAAGATGTTTTGGAAAATAAACACTCCCACCGGTGCCGCCGAAGAAGTTCTCACGAGTTCTCGAATAGGCTCCCCCTAGCGCTTTGGCAGGAAACTGCTGTGTGTCCCTAGAAATTCCATACTTTGCTGAAGCATACCAGCCGACGTTGCAGAAGCATACCAGCAAAACTAGTTCGCCAGCAGATGCAAGCGACATTTGATGTGTGCGGTTGCAGAAGTGTAATTCGCCCTTAAGAATCGCAGAGAATGAAGAAGAATTAGCTGATGTCCAGTTGGCTTTGTGTGTGATATAGAGCTGCCACGAATAACTACATCTCTAACAACTTATCTTTCGACACATTTTACATTAGTTCACTTATATTAATGACTAATTTCCAAAAAATCCCCACTGTTGGGTGTTAGCAGAGTAGCCAAGGGATGGTGTCGCCAAGTAAAAAAAAAACAGAAAGGGTACGTTCGTACTCTGTGTGCTCATTCGATTAAAGCCTCTGTCTAGAGTGGAGCCGTCTCGAAAGCACTAAAATTGTTATGAATGCGCAAGCGTTACTAAAATCCTACCAAAGAGTCGAGGGGGGCCTGCTTAAACAACCAAAGACAGTTGGTCATACTTCAAATGATTTGTAAAAAGTAAATGCTAACTTAACATTTAAACAATAATCAACTTACCGGTACATGATATTTTCCTTTTCAGAAGCATTCATAAGCCAACGAAGACTTGGTGTACAAACCAGCTGCCTGAAGGTATTCACATACTTTGGATACCTTCGGTCTTCTAGCAGATGCCTCCGTTCTAAATTCAGACTCCTCCGCTGCTGTAATTTTTTTATCTTGCTTAGAACCATAACCAACAGTAACAGAAGCTTGTGGCAGGAGAGCAAAGGGGAGCCAATTTGGCAGCGGTGTGCTCACAGCAAAACTAGTGCCGAGGAGCAGAATTACCAGAACTCTGATGAACGTATGATCAGGCCAAAATAGATGGGCGATAAACGGGCTGAGGAAAAAAACATTTTAATCAACGGAAATTATCTGTTTTCCTCATTAATTTGCAGCATTACTATAAGGATCCAGTCAGCCCAAACTTCATGTGTTCTGTAAAATATAGAGTCTTCTTAAAGAGGGGATTTTCTTAACAGCCTCACACACTCCATTAAGGTACAGAACAGAAGTTCTGAACTGTGAAAACAACTCCAAGATGATTAAGTTATGTTTTATATCTTTATATTGGTTAAAGAATTTTAAATGTCAATACTGACCTTTTTCCAAGTGGTTTTATTATATAATCTATCCACGCTTTGACCAACCCCTACATAATGTATTAAATAAAGATCTAACTAAATATCCAGATAGTTCTACTTTCCCCTTTTTAAAGTTTTAGGTTATATTCAAATCTAATACATTTCAGATTTTGAAAACATTTAACTGCTAACTGAAGTAAAATGACCTTTTTTCTTTTTTCTGTGGATTAAGAATGTCTGAAAATGGACCTCACAATAATTTTAATTACCATACACTTTAAGCAGAACGATGGTAAGATGACTATCATATATATTTACATAGGCTGTGGGATTTCTTTCTTTAAAGATGAAACAACGATTGTCTGTTTTTTGGGTACTGTGTAGTTTATGGAAGGTGAAGTCACATACATTTGATCCCCTTCAAAACATTGAACTACAACAAAAATATTGCTCCTTTATGTGTTTAAAAATGAATTATAATAGGTGCCCTTTAAAGCAACACTGTAGCCTTTGACCCAAGTTTTAGCTGTGAAATTGTTTTCAGGTCAACATATAGAACCTGCTGTATTGATGCTCTGTGCAGGCTGCTCTTCTTAAAACTTGTTTGTGAAACTTAAGAATCTGATCCATCATTGAACGAGTCCTGTGACCCAGAATGGGACTTTGCAGCAGTCCGAGCCCCCCTTAAACATGAGCGCTAACAGAGCTAAACGTTGTTGGTACTAAGGCAACAAAACATATATGACCCTAACCTGACCAGACATAATTTTAATGTAAGATTTGATTTAAGCGGGTTAATGTGTCCTCCTCTTTACAAGTGACTTCTCCATCTGCTGGTCCAAAGTAGTCTGCTGTCAGTTTCCATTTGCTTTCAGGTGCGCTAAACCTGAAAGTTGCTGGTTTAGTGCCCCTAGTGGCTAAAAGCTACACAGTGTTGCTCCAAGTTCCATAATAATATTGAGCAGGCATTTTAACACAGCTGAATGCAAGTATGAACGGCAGACATTTGTTTGTAAAGTTTCCTGCTAAACTGCTTCTTGCCCCCTTTTTTTATTTTTTTTTTAATTTACACATTCCTGAGGCTGAAAAGGACTCGGTCTTCTTTACACGGCAACAATTTCCACTCTCAGAAGCGTTGTCATCGCAACCTTGAAGGGCTTATATATGGTGATTTCACCAATTACAAAAGACTGGATTTTAGAGCTTCTGGCCAATTGGTCATTGGTTAGGGACAATGGAGCTAAACATTATCCTGTTCTGGTTATTTGCTAATTTTCTTAAAATCTCACCGGTGTTATACTTTATTAGCTTCTAGGAGTAAAAATCTCTGATAATTTCCCTCTACATAATCAGAAAGCTGTAGCCTCTTATTAAATAAGCTTTTACTTGGGGTGTTTAAACACATCTATTAATGATCCAATTACTTTGATGCAAAATTAAATGATCCACATCGTCATCTTCAAGATACCCCTCAATTGTGAAATTCACATAAAACTACAGTGGACATGTGATCTATTATAATTAATCACTTCTATAAACTTTGAAGAATTTTATTTTTTTATGTAAATGCCTGATGTCTGTAAGAGCTTAGAAATAAAATAGTCAAACCGTATTTAGGTTGTTTGATATCAGTGTAAATAAATTGCATCGTGTTGATGATAGACTTGTGCATTGAATGGTTATCGCATCATTTACCAGACTTTGTGATATCGGCACAATTGTATTGTCAATCAGAAAAAAAATTATTTTATATCATATAGGGATAACAGTTAGGAAGCCTTAGTGTGACACTAAAAACATTATACAGTGAATGCTTTGAAAAATAATACTTTAAATAATCACGATTTCATTAATACATTGTATAATTGTATTTATTTTATTTTTTTGTGCTTCAGATCTCCAAGGAGGAGAAGATCGAGATCCTCGTCTAGATCAAGGTGGTCACGGCACAGACGCTCCCGCTCCAGGGAAAGGCGGCGGAGATCTCGCGCTGATTCAGAAGATGGAAATGAAAGGGAGAAAGACAGAGAACGCAGGCAGAGAGGTCTTCCCAGCATCAAGAGCCAAACTCTGAGTGGTATGTACCAATACCAACGATATGAAGTTGTGTCCATATGTTGGAAACCCATTCAGCATGAGTATCTTTTAGCTGGTCCTGGATTTTGCAGAGTGTTTATGTGTGTATGTATTTGACTGGCATCTGGACCCCTCCCCCAGTGGTCTGTCCAGCACTTCTTAGCACAACCGCTCATTATGCTGAAAGTTTTCAATGTTACAATGAGATTAGGTGAACACATGCGCTTAGGCTGTGCCACTAGACACCCTTACCCTTCGATGGCACAGTTGGAGTGTCTAGGTTTGGAAATATTCCCAAACCAACTATGCTATGTTGACTACACTTTTCCTTGGTCCCATTTCTTATTGAATGCTATTATTAACCCAGTTAGATTAATTTTATAATTTTACCTTTATTCTTACAAAGCTTCTTGTTATTAGTTTTTTTTTTTTTTTTTGCTCTTAGTAAAGTCAACTTTCAAGCTTAGAAACCTCTTTGCAAAGACTACACATGTAAAATAGTGTAAACTGTTAGAACAAAAAGTAAATCTTCAAAATTATGTTATTGGAAAGCCTTCTTCCCAAAACCTGTAGTCTAATTAAGCTCTTAGCTGATCAACTTTCTTTTGCTCCCAGTTTGCAGTACCACACTTTGGGTTGGACAGCTTGACAAGAAAACTCAGCAATCTGATATAATGTCCCTTTTGGAAGAGTTTGGTCAGATTGAGTCGATCAATGTAAGTTGGGACAGATTGTGATAAACGTGTCTCTTACAGTCTATGATTAACAAGTTCAAATTTTCTTTACTTTAAACGTTTATTTTGTGTTCAGATGATTCCTCCAAGAGGTTGTGCCTATATTGTTATGGTTCACCGACAAGATGCTTACACAGCCCTAAAGAAGCTCAGTAGAGGATCAAATAAAGTTAACCAGAAACCTACTAAGGTATGTACTTTACTCATTTATTTATATTTGTTTTGCTTTGAATCTATTTAGGAGAGCCTGTCCTTTTGTCTGTCTGTATACAGGGTAACTTAAAGGTTATGTATTGATTTTAATGAATAAGTCTTAGACTTGGAAACATTTTATTGTCCTTTTGTATACATAGTGTGTATACAAAATGAAATTTCGATACATTCAGGTTTTCGACAGTGAATGAGCACCAGCTTAGCAATTGAATGAACATTTGCATTTATGAATTTGAAGGTGTGTGTTTGTGTGTGTATATATATATATATATATATATATATATATATATATATATATATAAATGGATAAATGACTGAGTTGGGATTTGCCATTCGACATTTTTATCAGATGTGTCCTTCATGCCAAGGAACAACCCATTAAATATTGGTGATTATCCTGATCGTAATATGGATACAGATTTTTTTTTTTTTTTTTTAAGATTCTCTAAGATTGTGAGTTAGGGATGTTCGATGTAATAAGCAGCTAAACCACAGAATGGCGGCAGTGACTATAGACAGCCTCAGCGTCAGACTCGGGGCTGGTTTATATTCAGAAACCAGGTCGTCTGCGTGTCTGTCGCAGTGAACGCAGATATGCCCCCGCCCCCTCCGCAGACACTCTGGGGCACCTCTCAAATTGTAGGTGACCGCAGACAGTGCTGCAGACAGGAGGCCTGTGATTTTTCCTGTTTGGTACCTTACCGGCTTCTTTTGTCTGTATGACCGTCATTGTGGAAAAAGACTCGTTAAGATGGACCAGCTAGAAGAGCGAGGTGCGCTAGAAAACTGGGATCCTTCTTCCAACTGGATCCCGCTCTATTTTGCTCCCATGTCCCTCTGTTGTCACACAAACTTGCTCTCGCGTTTTTCCACTTCCTCACCGCCTCGGCCGTACCTAGACTCACAGCTGGTTCGCGATTGTGGCGTAGAATAGCTCAGAACACGCTTCAAAATTGTCATAAAACCAAAGACATCTGCGTCATACCTGCGACAAGCTCACTGTGACACACTACTGTGGGAGTATAACCAGCTCTATCGGACGTTGTTGGTTTCTTAGCAGGATCAATTGAAAACGTATGAATGGATTTGCAAGACATTTTTTTTACTATAGGTTTCCCATACCAAAGAACCATTAACTTTTATTTGATGGAGATCACGTGTGAGTTAAAGCTATAGGTTTAATTTTGGGTTTAATTTGCTGCTTGGTGGAGGTCTGAGCTCTCTGATGGCTTCTTTAGTTTTATACTGAGATCACTGCAGCTGCTTTACCTGTCTTCCAGATTGCTTGGGCTTTAAACAAAGGTATAAAGCCAGCACATAAAAAGTTCTGGGATGTGGAGCAGGGGGTTACTTATATTCCTTGGAGCAAAGTCAAAGTTGAAGAATTGGAGAGCTATCAGGAGGGCGGCATGCTGGATCAAGAAACACTAAATCCAGGTAAGTGCATGTTTTTCTGCAGTATGAACTGAACTGACATACCCCAAGGTTCTAAGATACATGTTTCCTTACTTGGTCAATATGTTTGCTTAAACATTAGAGTGGAACTATGCTAAGGAGGGGAACAGCATGGCA